AACAAGACTAACAATTAGTAATAATTGTTAACTTTTCATTCATTATTAATTGAAATTAATAAATATTTAACTCCTTGGACTATACTGTATGTTCAATATCTATTTTGAAAACCTGAGTAAATTGAATTCAATTCACAATCTAATGGTTTATAAATTACCTCACGTGTCATACTGTGAAAAGTGTTAAAATGCAATCAGGAAATTAATTACATGAATTTCATTATTTTGTGCTTGCCTATCGTAGTAACAGAAACTATAATTCTAATCCGACAAGAACTTTTGTTATCCCTTCGTGTTCAAACTGTATATAAAAATTTAAATTTTTGATACAAATTTGTAAATGTAGAATTGTAATTTCACCTCGACCTGCATAGGAAACATTGAGTAAGGGTCCTAAAGGCTGCCGAAAAATTCGACTGAACATTTTGGCTTAAGAGTGTATAAACCACTTGAAAGACGTGACCGCAAATTCAGAAATGCAGAAAAGTTGCAACTGATGAAATTCTAACCTGCACGTTACAAACTTCAACCATCGCAGTCGGGGGCTATTTGGACCAGTTTTCAGTGCTTCTGTACAAAGGATAAATATGCGTTTAAAAGTTACTTGTTTACAGACAACACTTCTAAAGAGGACAATGTCTCCGGTGTTATACATATACAGGGTGGGACAGAACCGATTGAGCAGTTTTGAGCCGAAATAAAAGAGTAATGGAGGTACATAAAGAAGAAAGTTTATTTTCCTCCAGGTTAGCATAACATACCATTTAGAATACTTATGTTTTGAAAACAATATCAGGAAGATGGTGGCTGTAAAGGATTTTCTTGTTGGCTCGTCCTTTGGGAACGTTAACTGAACTATTCAAAGACGTGCCATCATAGCAGGATAAAAAACGAGTGTTCCATGATGTACGGTTTCTAGAAAGAAAATGACAAATATACATAAGATAAATATACAAGAAAAAGGATACGCTAATTACATGGAATAATAATATATGAGCCAAGATAAGACAACAATTAAACAGAATAATCAATAATTTACGAAAACAAACAATAAATCGAACGAACCGATCGAATAGCTTGGTTCCGCTGGTAGTGCATGCAGGCATCCGTATATCAAGGGCTAACAATGAATGCTGTGACGCTTATGAAATCCATGGTTGAACTAGTAGATATATATAGTTCAACCATTGTGAAATCAACTGCTTCGAGTAGGCTAATTCTATTGCTACAAGTTTCAGAAAAAGGGAAAATGACGGCTACAGTGGCCGTTAGCTGCAACACACTGTTGGAGTCGTTCTCGAAGGAGGGAGTAACCGTGACAGTGAATTCCCAACGCTATGCTGCAATGTTGCAAAATTTCTTACAGCCCAGGATGGAAAACATTGTTGAAAATGAAGCATTGTGAGACGTGTGGTTCCAGAAGGACTGGGCTACAGCTCACACAGCCCGAATGTCACTCAATGTTTTGAGACGCATGTTTCCCGGACGTCTGGTGTCTCTGAGGGGTGATTTACAGTGGCCTGCGAGGCTACCTGATTTGAGCATTTGCGATATCTTTCTTTGGAGAGATCTAAAAGAAAGGGTGTTGAAAAGTCGCCCTCACACCCTTCCACAGCTAAGGGGACAGATTATTGCAGCAGATGTTATTGCCATACCTCGCCATGTGTGTGAAAGTGCTGTAGGAAACTTCCAAGAACGACTGCAACAGTGTGCTGCAGCTAACGGCCACCATCTTCCTGATATTATTTTCAAAACATAAGTATTCTAAATGGAATGTTATGCTAACCTCTAGGAAAATAAACTTTCTTCTTCAAAATTTCGCCTCAAAACTGCTCAATCGGTTCTGCCCCACCCTGCACAATGAATTTCTTATTTTATTTTTAAATATTAAATAAATTAATTTTGAACTATTATAATATATAATTTTTTACAATAATTATTTATTCTCTTAACGGATTCAAGCATTCTCTCCAACTTTACGCAAGTGTGCTCGATTGGACAGGTAGAAGTGTGTTAAATATCAATTACAAGATTTGTAGCAGACAGACAAACAAACAAAGAAGCAACAAGAAGTTAAAAAGAAGTGTTGTAAAAAAGAGGGTCTAGTTGAAGAGGCCACTGCATTCCAAGTTGAGGCAACTTGATCGATGTTGAGCCGCTCGCACGGGCAACGGGGGCGCGGGCAAGAGTCAGTGTGGCGCCAAGCCTTGCGTACGAAGGTGTCGGTATACGGTAGCGCGGGATCCGTGTGAGGCAGGTCATGGTTCTGCCTGATCGACTGCACTGCCCATCGTTGTTTTGGAAGATTTTAGTCAGGTTGCCAATAAGTGTGGAGATGCTGCTAGGAAATGAATTGCTGAACTAGATCTTTTGCAAGCGAAATCTGATGAAAGTGCAGTAAATACGAAGCAGCACTGCACCGCGTGCCAAAGAAGAGCCCTTTATAGGAATTCTGATCCCTGATTGTCGGTAGCATAGATTTTTGCATTTATTTAACGTTTGGCGTTTTCATTTGACAGAAATACGCGACTGCATGTCATGAGCCGTGCAGACTCGTGCTTAGTGCAACGCGTTTTCGTAGCCAGTTTAGGTACCGCCAGAAGGCAGAAGCTCTTGTTTATAATCGAAATAGATTTTCACGATGCCAAAATTTAACATTGCAAGCGAATTAACTCGATGGTCAACTTTTGAGGAGCTTGAAGGTTTGAGTGAAATAAAGGAAATAATTAGTGAAAATCAGTTTGAGATCTTTTGGAATCAGATCAAGCAGAAGAGTTTACTTACTGAGAGCACGGAATTGTGAACTGAGGTCGAGTAGATCCTGCAGAATTGGCTAGTTTAAGATTCAACAAGGCGTTTGAAATTTGACAGATTGAACAGTTTACATTCTATCAACTTTCTTTCTAGGCCTAACATGTCTATGATTAGTATAGACAATGTGTAATTTATCTATTGGCAAAAGGTTAGAATAATCATGAAGTAGGGATTCAATCGTAATGTAGTATAATGTAACCGGTAGCCGTGCTGTGACAAGAAATGATGAAGCTGAGCTAGAGATAAAGGGACCACTTTGAAGTTGATCACTTGAACTGACTGCGTTGCACGACTGATTCCATTTAGGTTAAACTTTGAAGTACCCTGCTTCCAAGCGTGCATGGAGTATCATGCCTCAAAGCTTGGCTGGAGCATCGTTCTTTAGCATAAAGTTGTTCAGGAAATGGAAATGTTCACTGATCTGTCGGTGACGCCCAAGCACTGAAGCACACGTACAGCGTGGCCTAAAGGGCCTGCAATTTTTTCATTAAAATAGAACTCGCTTGTGACGAGTTGGGGACACTCAACTCAACCGGGTGGACATTATTAACCCCAAAAACCGAACAATCAATCCTAACAAGCCGGAACAATCAACCTAAACATGGCGGAAACCTCAAATCCAAATATGTTTATGTTATGTTAAACCCAGGAGCATATGTTTAGTCTTAAAATGCCTCGTATCCTACGGAACAACTGAAATCTAGAAGCGATTTTAAATCTGCCGTCCGTTGTAAAGATTTGATCAAAAGGCCAGTCTAGTCAAGAAAAGTCCAATAATCGGCGACAGGCCTATCCAGGCCTATTCTTCAATGCCGAAGATACTATACTATACTATACTAAAGACTATGAAAAAGTTCAATCCAACATCTTGCGAGTTGCGAGCATTAAACCGGACGCTGCAACCTTCGCAACACCAAGGCTGTATGTAACCCAGACTTAGTTTTTCGCCGCGGCTGAAACACGTTAACAAATGCTGCACCGTAGGTGTTTTAATTGAACGAATATTATTGACAATATCCGCTCTCATTTGCATCGGTTCGGCGGCAGCTTTCCTGCTGTGGGCGCGCGGGCGCAGGATAGTCGGATTAATTAAACGCTGTTGTGTTATTGGAACCTAAAGTCTGGTAACAATAGTAGTTTTCACTAAACTAAGGGTTAACCCTTTGTCTACGGATACATTAGCCGTCGGCAATGCTATACGTAACTGAAGGCCTGGTAATGTGTCGCCGCCATTACGCAAAGAGCTAAAATGCCCGTACAAAACATAGCCTTAGGGCGGAATTAGTTTTCATGTGCTCTTGAAGCAACAGGCTGGCACCACTGAGTCTTGCCTAGATCTGGCGGAGCGAAATATTTTGACTTACGAAACATTTCGACATTAGTTGCAATTGCTGAGTCAAAGTTAGTTACTTCGATATAAATTTCCCTATTACTTTTCAGTAAATGAGTCAATCGCGTAAGTTTCGTGACATGGCAATTTGAGCCATCTCCCAGGTACAGTCATGGAAGCGCGTCAGTTTCGTGATGGATCCCAGGAAATTTTGATGCATGTAGCCGTCTAGTCTCGCACTCATATTGGGAGTACGCTGAGCATCGCTCAACCACAATGTTTCGTCTGCAGCAGACGCGGGGCTGCAACCGAAGCCTTGTGGCGGCAACGCTTGCATGTTTGATGTTTTTTTTCTTTTTGCTATTGTGGCCTGAGCAACAAATGCTGAGTGGTGCCCATCGTTATGGTATGTGCGGTTACACTGTGTAGACACTCTGTCAAATGCGGGAGACTTGGTTCAAATAGCTATATACTTTTTGCCTTTTCAAGGGTCATTCTGACCCAGTTTGGCTCGGTAAAAGGACAAATCAGCACTACATCCGTCCTTGGTTCAAGCTCCGGGTAAAAAAGTGTCTTGGATATATACTTAGTGTCTTGCATATAAAGTAAAAGTATATATACTTGTACGTGGCTAAATATTATGTTCGAAGCACACAAAATAATTATCATTGTTGGTTCTGACTGGTGCATGATGCGCCAATGTTCCACTTACAGCTTTTATTAGAGTCAACATTCTAAGGATGATGTCCCTGCGTTGTTATCGTTGCTGGATGTTGGAAAGTACGTTCCACTGACGCTGACCTTCCTTAATGAGTACTTCATGAGTATGTATTGATCTACAGTGTATTTCTTTACAGAGAAAATAAGTATTTAATTTTATTCAGCAAAAGTGAATTCCTGCCTACAAGCATGGATTACCAAGTCCAGACCCAACAGCCCGTGCCTGGTAAGTTTACAGTAATCGAGCTTTTCATTTCTACGTTCAAATCAATTCCCCTAATTTTAAATGAAAATAGTCAAGAAACTCGATATATTTTCATGGCATACGATCCGCAGGCCTAAGTATGAAGCTGGCTACTGAAGCTGGCTGCCAGCATCACGTGTTGCCAGCATCACATGTTGCCAGCATCTCGTGTTGCCAGCATCACGTGTTGCCAGCATCACGTGTTGCCAGCATCACGTGTTGCCAGCATCACGTGTTGCCAGCATCACGTGTTGCCAGCATCACGTGTTGCCAGCATCTCGTGTTGCCAGCATCTCGTGTTGCCAGCATCACGTGTTGCCAGCATCACGTGTTGCCAGCATCACGTGTTGCCAGCATCACGTGTTGCCAGCATCTCGTGTTGCCAGCATCATGTGTGACCAGCACCACGTGTTGCCAGCATCTCGTGTGACCAGCATCTCGTGTTGCCAGCATCTATAGTTACAGACACTGGCGTTAATGTTGCCACAATTAACAATTATTCTATGCATTGAAGTTGTGGGGAAGTATATCATATCCCGGCATTTGTTCACGGGAAACAATCATTGATCAGTTTTTGTCGAGTAACGACGCGGGTGGTTGCAAGGCTCTGTAAACATCGCTTTTGCCAGCGCTCAGTTATTAAGCGCCACCTGAGGATTGGGATACGTGACTAAGGTCGTGAATGATAAGTAAGATACCTACATCTCTCTAGATAACATATTTTGATAAATGGAGTGGTAATACAAGAGTTACGGGAACTAACTATAGTAAGGAACTATAGTTAAAAACGACCTTTTCTGGGTTGACAGGATGAATTTCGTTGTGGATTCCGAGGTTGTGAAGTTTCTGTTGATGAGTCTGACTAGTGACTTTCTTGAAAGCTTCCGTAGACTACCTGGCATGCCGGCGCACTACAAATGCGTCGAGGGTGGAAAACGAACGACCAACTCTTGCTTCACTCTCGGCGACTGAACCGGTTAAAATCTTCAGAGTCAGATTATCCTCTTAGAGGATAATTCCTTGATGAGGAGTTTGTTTTGCCATGATTTATAGAAAGCTGAAGTATGTAGACACCTTTTGTACAGTTTAAATCTCAGGAATTTGGGAAAAACACCATATACCTTGCATTTCACCAGAAAATCAATGTCCAACACTGTCTAATGTCTTTGCTGACTTACGGAGGAGATCATAGTATTTTCTATAACACAGTGGCAGCCATCTTCACCGTATTTTGAACGTATATAAGTAATAATATCACTCGTTTACTTGAATCGCAAATTCACTAAAAACTTAATAGCAAAGAAAACTCCACAAAAATTCATAGTATCTTTAAAGAAAACGTTTCGAAGTCCAGCTCCATCGTCAGTTCGAAAATTCTAGAACACAAATAAATCAGTGATTAGTACAAGTCAAGAATACAACGAAAATCCTAAGCTGCAAAACCTACCTATTTACAATTTCAAGCGGGTAAGAGCTAAAAGCTAAATTCAAACTAGGCCTCTGTTTAAAAATATACAAATATATCTACGTAAGTTTTTGTAGAACCAGCTGGTAACTTAATGTCGCGCCCACCTCATTCGGCTGTGCGGGTTCACGCCGAGCAGTGCGATGTTCCAGTTTCTGACAGTGACTTCAAAGTTTTAGCTTCCAGTTCCGGTGTTTCTGATTTGCGCATTTTAAAATCATTGTATATTTTTAAACAGAGGCCTAGTTTGAATTTAGCTTTTAGCTCTTACCCGCTTGAAATTGTAAATAGGTAGGTTTTGCAGCTTAGGATTTTCGTTGTATTCATGACTTGTACTAATCACTGATTTATGTGAATTTTCGAACTGACGATGGAGCTGGACTCCGAAACGTTTTCTTTAAAGATACTATGAATTTTTGTGGAGTTTTCTTTGCTATTAAGTTTTTAGTAAACACATGTTGATTTGTATGCACAAATTACTATCGGACACTTCTGTTAATGAATAAATATTGCACAATTTGGTAGTGAGGCGGCAACGTATGCCTACGCCACAGCCTTTACTCGAAGAAATGTTGCTATTTTTGCCCTTGTGTGGGTCATCTTGATCCGGGTTTCGTCCTGCAAAAGGGCGTATCAGTGATACGACCGCTCGCTGCTTGTGCTGTCGGTAAGAAAGTGTCGCTATTTGGACTAATAAACTGATAAATTTTTCTGAGTGTGTGAGCGCTCGCTGCTCATGCGTGTCCACGATAGAAATAAATAAAGAAGAATCTCTCGTAAATTTAATTGCGTGGTTTTGTTTACCATGTTGATGCGTGACCACTTCGCACCCACTGACCTTGAGGGTATAAATAACCTCTGTTGGAGGTTGTGGTAGGTCAGGTGGGGGCCGGAGGTTTGTGGGGTGAGGGTGTTCGATGAGCTAGGTATATCTACCTAAGTTCTAACCCAACTTTTTTCTTTTTTACACGTCACTATAGGCATGTTTCTTCGGAATCAAATATGGTCAAAATATATATGCATGCTGAAAACACTGCTCCTGTCGCCTCCACTATTACCCTCAAGCAGTAGCCTTGGCTGAAATAACTATGTAAACTAAAACGTTACGCCCATCCGTTATTGCATGCGCAGCATTATATTTCATTTGTGCCACTATTTGTGAGCTGACACGCAGGAGATTATTATTTCCATTGAGCCTGTCGCGTTCTGAGAACTGAACACATGTAAGCAGCAGTTCAATTGACCCGGGCTTGCAGCACCACAGTGCAGTGGTGGTGATGTTGTGGTACCACAGTGCAGGGATGGTGATGTTGTGGTACCACAGTGCAGTGGTGGTGATGTTGTGGTACCACAGTGCAGGGATGGTGATGCTGTGATACCACAGTGCAGTGGTGGTGATGTTGTGATACCACAGTGCAGTGATGGTGATGTTGTGGCACCACAGTGCAGGGATGGTGATGCTGTGGTACCACAGTGCAGTGATGGTGATGCTGTGGTACCACAGTGCAGGGATGGTGATGTTGTGGTACCACAGTGCAGGGATGGTGATGTTGTGGTACCACAGTGCAGTGGTGGTGATGTTGTGGTACCACAGTGCAGGGATGGTGATGCTGTGGTACCACATTGCAGTGGTGGTGATGTTGTGGTACCACAGTGCAGGGATGGTGATGCTGTGATACCACAGTGCAGTGGTGGTGATGTTGTGATACCACAGTGCAGTGATGGTGATGTTGTGGCACCACAGTGCAGGGATGGTGATGCTGTGGTACCACAGTGCAGTGATGGTGATGCTGTGGTACCACAGTGCAGGGATGGTGATGTTGTGGTACCACAGTGCAGGGATGGTGATGTTGTGGTATCACAGTGCAGTGATAGTGATGTTGTGTTTCCACAGTGCTGTGATGGTGATGTTGTACTACAGTGCAGTGATGGTGATTGGGAAGATGTGAGACGAAATAATGTGAGTAAGTGAAAATGAGTTATGAAATGAGAAGAATCCGAATGTATAAATTCAGGATTAGATTGTAATTGTATGTAGTTTTTACACTAAAATTTGAAGCTGGGAACAACGAATTAAGTTAGTCTAGCTTTACACACTTGGAATTATGTTTCTTTGCATGCGAGAAGTTTTCTTCAGGTATTGTGCGTGAAATATTCTGTTTAGTTCTGTATGTATACGATTTTTTTTACCTAAGTTCAAACGAATCTTTTTAGAATAAATGTTGTGTTTTTAATGCCGGCATGTAGGAGATCTACGCACGCTGCTCGAGTTAAGAAAGTGCAGCAATGTTAAGTAATATCGAAGCTGTGAAATTCAGTCGCTATGGCCACCTCAAGCTGCCTGAAGGCTGGATTTGGCAAGCAAAAAAAAGCCACTGGTGCGTTGTTCAATTAATGCAGCAGCGGGCAGAGAAAGAGCGATGTTAACAAACATTATAAATCGTCAATGTTTGTTGATGAACATTCGTTAAAAAGCAATACAGGATCTTGAATAAACCGTTAATTCTTTAGAGCACTCAATGCTGTTGAGAAATGCGTAATGGATTAATCGCATGAAAGACTGCGGTAACGACGCATTTTAAACGCACTATCACGACATATGCATCCGATATATCTGCAATCACACGGTATTTGCCTAAGAACTTCCGGCAATTAATAACACGGCAATTGCAAACGATATTTCCACAGTCACACAACATTGGTATACGATCTTCTTAAAATCACACAGCTCTTGCATACTGTATTCCCACAATCACACAGCTTTTGCATATGATGCGAGAATGTCACTCTTTGCTCTCTCTACATAGTTCTTCTGTTGCCTGTGTTAGTGTGGTGTCGTTGATATGCTCTGCAGCAGATGCAAGTATGGTGAGAACTTCATCATATTATGAGTTGTGGTGCACCTGGCCTCGTTTGTCCGGATATTCGGGAACGTTAAATAATAGATAATGAATAATTTTTACTGGTGAATATTTTGAAAATTTTCAATGCAGAGCACAACTTTGTATAGCTAAACTGATACAACTCTAGCCTGTGTCTTAACAAAGGATGAGCTGGCAGCCTTATCGTACACGTGCATTAAATAAAGATGGTGCAATATAGATCAGTTCAATGTTGATTAGAGCAATGTCGTCCAAAAACCCACTTTGCAGGTATGTGATGACCTGCCAGCAAGTAAGAGGCATTTAAGCAAGGGTTTTTAACCGGTTCGTTTACCTTACGTAGAACTTTGTTACTCGATAAATATGAATAGATCTTATCGCTGTCCAGATGACCGTTGTGAGTACACGATGTGCTACTTTATAACGTAAATTATTATCTGAAAATTATTATTAATAACATTCATATATTATATAATTGCTTATACTAATTCTAATTATTTATCACTCTGCGCAGGCGGGATGAACTCTGTGCAGGTGCCGCTGGTGCCGATGCCGAGCTACAGCCCCGCGCTGGCCTACCTCTCGACCGTCGACCAGCTCGTCGTCAAACAGAAGAAGGAGCTTGTGGAGAGTGAGTGGTGAAATGGGGCCTAATGCATGGTGAAATGGGGTGTAATGTACGGTGAAATGGGGTGTAATGTGTGGTGAAATGGGGTCTAATGTGTGGTGAAATGGGGTGTAATGTGTGGTGAAATGGGGCCTAATGTGTGGTGAAATGGGGCCTAATGTGGTGTGAAATAGGGCCTAATGTATGGTGTAATGGGGCTTAATATGTGGTGAAGTGGGGCTTAATATGTGGTGAAATGGGGCTTAATATGTGGTGAGACTTAGTTTAATGTGGTGAAATGAGGCCTAATGATTAGGGAAATGGGGCTTGATATGTGGTGAAACTTTGTTTAATGTGGTGAAATGAGGCCTAATGTGTGGTGAAATGAGGCCTACTGTGTGGTGGAATGGTGCGGTATTTGTGGTGATACACCTAGTGCCAACGGAGTGACGAAATGGGGCCAAGGTAAATTCCTGCGTTTGGTAATCATTCCATTCCAGACAACAGGGTTTTCCCGGTTAGCAATACAAACCGGGACAATTTCTAGCACTCCGTGGAAATTCCTGGACCACGCCGAGACGAGACGTCCCGGTTAAAATGGGAATTTCAAATTTTGTGGAATTTTCATCTTTTATAATGAAACCTAGCGATATATAGCGAGACATAACGAGACATACCTACTAGTTAATCCTTAATATTAATCAGAATAGTAAATTGTTTCTGACAATATCTGATCGATCAACATTTTGTCTGTTTACAACGTTTCAGGTTTATTAATATGTAAAATGACATCGCTATTTACCATCCAGCAATTTTACAATTAAATTAAGCCTCATCTTCATATCTTCTGTGCAGATGTTCGCAGTTCGTCTAATACCACATCAGAGTCTGTATAGACCGGTATTATATTTATCCAGCCATTGAGATAACCAGCGTAGGCACGAGGACGGTGACTACGCATGCCCGGCGTGCTGCTGCATTGAACTTGTAAATATCGCCTAAAACTCAAAGTTTAAGACGACCATTGGCCTGGTTAATACCTGGCCATCATGGGTCTCGCCGGTTCTCAGCGTTCTTTACTCAAAATATTTTCAGTTACCACTTCTGATTTTTGGCATCTTGAGAATGCCTTTCCACACTCTTCTAAGCAGATGACCAATCGACACTACGTCAACGATTCGCGGAGATGCCATTAAAGTGATTAAACGTTCTGAACTCGTATGTTTCCCGTCATGCGGTATTAAAGGCTAAACAGTAGCGTTATTCACTAAATATTCAGCCATACATCGCCCAATCTGCCCATTAATTTAACTGCCAAATTAGTTTGGCAGTCAAATGTCACCGAGTATGCCCATGACTGGCAACTGCCCATTGGCAATCAAGGGCTAACTTAGTATTCCTTAACCGCGCGTTCGGAATGTTTCGTTTTGTTTTCGTATCTTAATAATATCTTGTGTTGCCTTTAATATTGAATGCATGTCTCGTCTCGTTACTTAAATTTTGGAGGACCAAGTTCATCCAATGTTCTGCTCCGGCGGTGGCTGCAGACAGACTTGTGCTGCCGAGCTCTGTTTACAACATAGAATAGAATAGAAGTGTCGGCACTGAAGAAAGAGGCGCATGGCCTGTTGCCGATTCTTAAATTTTTCGTGACTTGATTCACAAGGGTTTCGGCCGTTGGAACCCGATCTTTCCATAACTGACGATTGATTGAGATAGCTGCCGGACTTTTTGCCTGGTCCGTAATTTGCTAGGCATTTTAAGACTGAACATATGCTCCTGCATAGCTTCGTCTAGTCTGTTCTTGAATGCGTTCATACTCGGAGCGTCAACGATGCTATCAGGGAGGCTGTTACATATACTCAACATTACAACAGTGCAAACATCTGATACGCTCGTGTTTGAAACTGCGTAAATCTTCATAAGCTAATTCTTTTGACTTAGATTATTACGCTTTGAGGATCCAATGACGTTGAAGACCGTGCTAATTAATCTGACTGTGGCGACCGGTGCTACTGTACCGATACCAATTGTCATCTTGGTTAATTCGTCCATCTTGGCCTGATCGGCTCCCGTACTCAAAACAACGACGCGAATCATTACAAGCAATTTCTTATGGACATAGTGGACTATACAATTGATGATTTCCTGACGTCGAATTTTGTGCCTTTAAATTTGACTGTGGCGGTGGCGACCGTTACTGTCCCGATACCGATCGCCATCTTGCTGTGTCGCGCTATTTTTTCGTCGAATTGAGAGATGTTTTCACCAGACTAGTGACTAGCCATCGGCTAGTCAGCTGAACGACCTTTTGACCACCTTCGACCTGGTTTTTCACGTGACCTTGCTAACGCACGACATGGGCGGACTGCTGGACATTGTCATCACGCGTGCTAACCTTCAAAGTCTGCCAGTCAACATCATCGAGATCGCAATATCCGACCATCGACAACTTCGGTGGACGGTGCCTTGTTTGCGCCCGGCGCCAGCGTATACAAGACCCGTTACCTGTCGTCCGTGGCGCGATCTTGACGGCGAAGTCTTTCGCGAAAAGCTGCAGCCGTCCCAACTATGTCGGCCTGACTCATGGTTGGCACTATCAGTCAACAACCTCATGCAGCTCTAAAACACCGAGATAACCTGTGCACTCGATGACTTCATTCCTGCAAGCACAGTTCGGGTACCCCAGCGAGAAGCCGACCCATGGTTCGATAGCCAGTCGATAGTCTCGAAGCGGGGGATTCGACTGCTCTAGCGGGCTGTCTACCGTGCGAACAGAGGCGGAAATGCTGCTGCCGCTGCTGTGGCCTCCACCTGGCGAGATGCGCGGCGCAATTATGTCGACCTTCTTCATTCTAAAAGAGAGTCATTTTGGCGCCAGAAAGTAGACGCGCAACGCAGCGATCCCCGAGCGCTTTGGCGTTCGCTGGATAAACTCATGGGAAGAAGTCATACAGAGGCTTCGGGTGACGTACGCGTGGAGGAATTCCGTGCGGTTTTCGAAGACAAAATATCTGCTATGCGAGCAACGTCGGCCGATGCTCCGCCGGCAGCATTTGCCCCGTACCCGTTCGACTGCCTACTCCAAGAATTCACTCGCGTCACAGCTGACGACGTCATCGCTGCAGTGCGAGCGCTGCCCAACAAGCAGTGTGCCAGCGAATAGTGATCCGCTGCCGACGTCGTTAATTAAGGGAAATGTGGCAACCCTAACACCTTTTCTGGTCAAACTTTTCACCGCTGCCTCGCTGACGGTGTTGTTCCGATGAACTTGCAATCAGCTTACATTACGCCTCTATTAAAAAACAGACCTCGACGCTTCCGATCCCAAATCATATTGACCCATCTCCAACCTGTCGATTTTGTCGAAACTCCTGGAACGCGTTATAGCGCAACAGCTGAACAACCATCTTCAGCAGTCCGATCTCATGCCTCTCCTACAGCCTGCATACCGTCATCTCCACTCGACGTAAACCGATGTGCTGAAGATGCTTTCAGACATTCTGCGAGCAGTAGACCGCGGCAACATTGCTGCACTAGCTTTACTCGAGCTGTCGGCCGCGTTTGACACGGTCGACCACGGCACTTTATTGCATCGACTTGACGTATCATTCGGCATGCGCGGCACAGTGCTGCTGCGGTTCGAGTCCTATCTCAGCAATAGATTCCAATGCGCGTTCGACGCGAGAACTCTTCTTCTGCACCATCGTTGGTCACTTGCCGCGTACCACAATGATCAGTTCTCTGCCCGATCCTCTTCCTGTTATATACTGTCGACGTATTGCATATAATCAATTCACATGGTTTGAATCCGGATATGTTTGCCGATGACACCCAAATTTATGGCTACGGTGCACCGGCTGACGCCGCAGCGTTGCAGGATCGAATGTCAGTCTGCATCAACGCTGACTCAGACTGGATGCGCTCCAACCGGCTCCAGCTCAATGCATCAAAAACCGACTTTATTTGGTTTGAGACTGCTCGGCGTCAGCATCAGCTTCCGGCCAACCCTGTTCGCGTGGGCAACGAGTTCGTCATGCCTGCGTCCGCCGTTCGCAATCTGAATGGGCATTCTGCTGGACCGGCACTTTCAATGAACCGTCACATTGCCAAGGTCACCACCGCTTGCTTTGGCACTCTGTGACAAATACGTAGCATCAGCTGCTGGGTTTCGAGGCCGGTCCTTGAGTTCCTTGTGGAGGCGCTCGTTTTGACCTGATTGAATTATGATAATGCCACACTTTATGGACTTCCCACCACGGCACTTAATAAACTGCAATCCGTAATGAACGCTGCTGCTCGATTCTTCTGTAATAAGCGAAAATTTGACCATGTGATGCCGATATTGCGCGATCTTCATTGGCTGTGCTTTCAGCAGCGCACCCAGTTCAAGGTTGCTCTTCTGACGTTCCGATGCCTTCACGGTCTGGCGCCTCCTTATCTTACGGAAGGTCAGCGCGTGTCGGATCTGCCTTCTAGAAGACGATTGCGCTCGTCATCAACAGCGTACCTCGTCGTACCATCTACACGTCTACCTACCGTCCGCGACAGAGAGTTCCCGGTCGCCGCCGCTAGAACCTGGAACAGTCTGCCGGCTTCCGTAACTTCGGCTCCTTCGTTGCAGGTGTTTCGTCGAAGCCTAAAGACGGAACTATTTCCTAGAGGCTATGAATCTAGTCACTAGGTTCATAATTATAATTATCATATATTATCATAATAATATCATAAATAATAATTATAATATATTCACATAATAGAATTTAAGCACTAGATTCTAGTGCTTAGTCATTTTTTCCGTTCCCATCCTTTCGAGTGTCTATTTATTTTTCGCTTGCAATTATTCTTATGTGTGACGTGCCCTCGAAGTTCGTTTGAATCAGACGCCACTACAAATGCTTCGTAAAATAATGATAATGTTCAAGCACTGTTTCCGGAAGGGAACGCCATCTCTCAAGAAAATAATTCCGATCCATACAGCTGGAATTGTTAAGAATTGGCATCTCATGTGGCTGCCCCTATCACTGGACCTGAATATTATCGTAGTGCACTAGTACTGAATATTATAGGCAGTAGTGCACCTTAGTATTTCAGTGATGTAGTACATTGAATAATATTTAGTTGACTTGCACTGTTAAGCAATAAGCATATCACTGAAACTCACAGTAATTGATTTAAGCGTCTTTTGTAAAAACTCAGCATTTATTGTGAAACCAGTAAACGGAGTTGGATTATTAAATTTTTTGTTTTGTGCACTCTGCCTATTTAGTTGAGCAAATTTGGACCATGAGACCAGCAAAAAAAATTTTTTTTTTGGTTGGGGTCTCTGAGCACGAGGTTACGTTTTACGCTGCTTGTAAATAATATGATATTCGGTATCACGTTTTACGGTGCATATGACCATCAATATAAATTTACGGTTGCGTATTCTTGTTCTAAAATCATGTAAGTTGATGGTAATGTTATGATCCTGGATTCTACTTCTATTGAAGATTATATTGTCTCAAAAATTATAACAATTTTCGCATCAATATAACACAATTTTGTGCAATATTTTATGATCGACAATATGTTATTGATCGACGCTTGTCATGTTTAACTGTAAATCCACTATACTTGAAAGCCATGCGTTTGCCATTTGAACAGTTAATCTACTGAAAATGAGACTTTTCATGTCACCGCCTGAACTTTAGAGTGGTCGAGTTGTTTAAGTTCAGAGCACCAGAATTGAAGCTGTGAGTTGTTGGTTCGATACCTGCTGCCAACTGTGAAAAGTTTTGGTCGAAATCAACAAGGCGGCAGAGAGGTTAACACGCAAGAGCAGTGGATGTTGGAGCAGTGAGTGGCGGGTCCACGACCCGCATTCAGCTGTAAAAATTCTGCAATGTTCAGAAGCGGTGACAGAACTAACGGCTTAATCTTCTACGGTAACACCGCTTTTATATTATTAAATTCGCTCGTTTGTGCAGTCGTGCTGGACTACGAGTCTGCAAACAAATATGAGGTGAAGAACAGCCAGGGACAGACTATCTTCATGGCGCTCGAGGATTCGGACTTCTGCTCCCGCAACCTGTGCGGTAACATGCGGCCTTTCGCCCTCAAGATCATGGACTGCAACCAAATCGAAGTGATGAAACTAGTCCGCCCTCTCGCATGCTCGGGCTGCTGCTTCCCCTGCTGTCTCCAGGTAACAATGTTACAATAATGGCTATACGGCTTGAGCCCTGCTTTTGATTAGAATGAAGTTATTATGGGATATATACCTCTTACTTTTTTAACGTTGATCGATCGAAGTGATTTCTCTTTCAGTTTTACGTTACGTTATGGTTCCGGATTTCTATTATTTATCGTTTGTCAGGTTGGTTGCCGAGTAGCTTGCCTTAGCGGCGCGTAGTAGGTTCTAGACTGGCCGTAACGAAGTAAACAAGGAGGGCAAAAAGCCACAGGAGAAAATTAAATACTTCCTATATTATAGACAAAACTATACTATTGCAGAGCTGGGTCACTTTTGCATCAGGCATCTATTTCACGGGATAAGAAATCATCTAGAGCCTATGTACATGAATCTATCATCGTTCTGATCAAATATGGATTTACATCACGTACAAAAAGTCGATCATGACTAAGAAATTTCGCCCCACCGAGTTAGCAAACATGGGGCAATCGACGCGGAAACAGTGGCAAAAAACGCGGTAATAGCGATTCAATCTCAAATCAGTAACTGCTATGCCTCCAATAAATTCCAATGAGTACATCACCGGCTCTGTGAGTGAGACGTGGGTTGAACGACTTCTTCGTGACATGCTCCGCCGTATTTCGTGACGTAATGGGACCTTGTATATATAATTGGCGTCTCTTCGATGATGTTCTTAATTAATGCGGCTGGGCGGCGCCGGCTCTCGGCCTTCAGTGGAGTCAAATGCAGGAACTAGAGATCCGACAAAACGGCTGGAGATTCGAGATCTGACAAACTGGAGGTTCGAAACGATGCTGGAACGTGGATTGTCGAGTAGAGCTCTCGCCGTTCGTTGATCAACGCAAGTCGTCTAGCAGAACGTAGTTTATTCCAATTCGTTCATGTTGTAGCTTCCGGGCAGTTAATTCAGCTTAGTGTCGTCTCCAATCTTCGCGGTTGTCTTTTGAACCCGGTAGATAAACGTGACGTGGCCGTTGAATAGTGAAGCTGCTGTACAACCGTACTCTTCGCCTAAGCCCTAAACAGTCTCCACCTCACAAATACGCCGGGCGCCTATTGACTGGCTAGCTCACGAGACACACGCTCGATACTCGACTCCGGACTCGACTGCTCTCGTGGTTCTCCACTCTCCTTTTATATCCCGCTGGAACTCAGTCACGCCCTAAATTCAAATCTCCCTCAGATCATGCTCTCTCTTTGTATTTGTAATATTCGTGAATTACTATTCCTATCACATCCTATCATTTTATCCAGGTGATAATTACGGCTGTACTCTCGCTGTTCCCAGGTGACAATGGTCTAGCGGGTGCAAATGCCGCAGCGAAATATTTGCTTACTAAACAATTTTCTGCTTTAGATCAGCCAGCGATGTACAGGAGAAGTTTCTCACGATTTAGTTGATATTTCTTATCCATTCCTTAGTGTTTAACTTCGGGGAAGTACATGGTCTTAATAAAGACTGAATTGTGTTGTTCCATTTGATGACAGAAACATTATTACTCAGGTATTCAGATAAATGATTAAAGCATGTCACTAAGGTATTCAGATGAGTGACTGGATCATTATTACTCGTGTATTTATATGAATTAAGCTGATTATTGCAGACGATGGAGGTCGAGTGCCCCCCTGGCACGGTCGTGGGCAGGATCGAAGAGCCCTGGACCTGCCTAACTCCAAAGTTTGACATCAAGAACGAGGCTGGAGAGACGGTTCTTTCAATTGAGGGACCAATGTGCCTGTGCAACTGTTGCAGCGACATCGACTTCGATGTGAGCCTCGAACTTAGTTATGACGCTCTACATTTAAAGGGAAATGCCGGTTTCGTCATAACTAATTGTTTGTTTTGAACAGAAGTATCATTGGTGGGGCCGATGGTTAGACTTTGTCAAATGCGACATCTTCTATGCATAATGAAAAGAAAAAAAATTAAGCAAAAAGAGCCTAATTTCACCACGTTTGACTCCAAGACGACTGGACTCTTGTAGCACAAGGTATTTTCTATAAATTCCCGATTGACATAATTCTCGATTTCTTGAGGCAACCAATGAAAAAAACATTCATTGATCAACTTTTGGGAAGCTTGAAGGTTTGAGTGAAATAAAGGAATTGATGTAAATCAGTTTTGTATCCTTGACGACTGGCTAATTATTATATCAAGATCTTTTGCAGTCAGATCAAGCAGAAGAGTTTAACTTGTTTTGAACACAGGAATTGCGAAGTGAGTCGGGTAGATCCTGTATAGCAATTCAAGTTTCAACACTAGACTTTAGCCAATAATGCCGACACATTGTTGCAGATCCTATCAGTGGACGGCGAGACGAAGGTGGGCAAGATATCGAAGCAGTGGTCCGGTCTGATGAAGGAAATGTTCACCGACGCCGACCATTTCGGCATCAACTTCCCGCTCGACTTGGACGTCAAGGTCAAGGCCACGCTACTCGGTGCCCTCTTCCTCATCGTGAGTCGCGTTTGGGGTGGTTTTTTATTTAAGTATTTTCAACCTACCGGTTTCTCCCTATCAGGTGTCCTACCCTGCCAGTTAGGAGACCTACCCTCCCAGTTAGTTGACCTACCCTCCCAGTCAGGTGACCTACCCTCCCAGTCAGGTGACCTACCCTCCCAGCCAGTTGACCTACCCTCCCAGTCAGTTGACTTACCCTCCCAGTCAGTTGACCTACCCTCCCAGTCAGTTGACCTACCCTCCCAGTCAGTTGACCTGCCCTCCCAGTCAGGTGACCTACCCTCCCAGTCAGTTGACCTACCCTCCCAGTCAGTTGACCTACCTTCCCAGCCAGTTGACTTACCCTCTTTTCGTGCAGGATTTCCTGTTCTTCGAGCAGAGCAAATAAGTCCGTCGCTCTCCGCAGCCGTCTCGCTCAAGTCGTCCGTCAGAGCAAACTTCTTTTCTTCCACAAAAATCAACTGACTGCTCTGTCCAAGTTCGACGTTTGTGTTCCACAAATAATGTTGTCCGATGTATTCTCCGAGACAATGTATCCTCCGAGACAATGTGTGCTCGGTGTGAGTAGCCCAAAGCATCAGTGTTCATCGCGGTCACACGCTCGATGAATGTGAAAGACTGCCTCGTGTATACGCAGCGTGAATGAGGAGCGTTAGTGAACATGTCTTGGTGTATAAGGAATAATGTTTTTATTGTTCTGAATATTGCCGCCGAAAATCCAATCGCAAGTGTATTTTTGTATCTCATGCGAATATGTCGTGCGTGTGTGTGTGTTTTATATAGATTCATTAGTTCGTATTCATCATACATTATAGCTGAGGTCATGAGTGCTGGCAACAAAGTTTCCCGTTCATATGTCAGCACTCGTGGTTTTATTTTTCGTCCTGTTCTTAGTGCTTGTCCTGTTTTTAGTGCTTGTCCTATTCTTCGTGCTTATAATTGTGCTTGGCCGATTCATTTCACTTTATTTTACCAGCCTTTAGATTAGATTATCACGGATGAATTTTAATTAGATTTCATTTCCGCTAATGTCCTGGCAGTGTTGCAATATTGACTACCGTACGAAATATTATGCCAAAAGTCTAATGTCTTTACAAATGAATATTTGTAAAGACATTACAAATGACGTCGTAAGTATCAAGGGTTACTAGCATCAAATTATGGTAATAGTGGATGATTCTTTCAATAAATACTCAGGGATTTAAGAACTATAGGCTTTAATTTCAAAGCCGCCCAATGATATACCTAGTTGAATTGATGTCAAAGTTTGAAAATTTTTAACCTGATTAATATTTACAAGCGATTCGACGAATTCTCGCGTCGTGCGGTCCAACATAAAGAACAGTTCAGTTATCGAGTTCATTGTGAAGTGCAGCTCGCATCGCCGCTTCGTCAAATGCGTGTACTGCTTTATCAGTCGTTACTGCTATCTGTGGTGCGCATGCGACCTAAAATTCTATTTACATATTTTTAATTTCCGAGTACCTGCTAGCTAGAGAGCGTAGGAGGTTCCTGTATTTGGACGGATTGTTGCTAGGTGAGAACCGCAGGATTCCGTGGCGTTTACCTGTATGGTCGTTGAAATATCGTGATTCAAGATGAGTAGTCGCAGGTCTTGCAGTCTGATGTCCCGTTGCGCTATGAGCTCCCTGGTGTCAGGGTCGTTGAAGGGAGTGAAGTTCTTGCGGAAGCCGGCGGGGATGTGGTGCTTCCCGCCAACCAAGAGAACCCTCCCTCTACCTTGCTTCTCTCTGTCAGTGTTATTGGTGCCTACCTAATTCACGCAAAATTTTCTTAACATAACTAATTCTTAAAAGCCAAGCACACAAAACGAAGTCATGGTTTCGTCTTGATCTCGAATGACCCGCAACCCAATAACACCTTTCTACGTTGGATAAATTACAGTGGCTAATACGTACCTTCGTGCATTGTGCAGGCAAACGGTTTTCAGTGGCTTAAAAGAGATTAGCCTGCAATGTGCTATCGATTATTCAGACCTTACAAATCAGCGATGATTCATAGGTGACTGCCACCTTTACTCGCCATCCTCTCGATTTATTGATGTTTTATTATCGATTTTTGGCAAATCTGGCCACTCACCGTTACGCCACCTATAAACTACTATAGCCCCCTATAATCATCGGTGCGCCACCCTTAATTTTTATTTGGGCTTAGGATGCTTCCTTCGCCGCAGCGGTATTGGCGGGCCAGTTTGCCATACTGAAGTTAAAGTAAAAGCGGGCGGATTGGGCAGTTACGGAGGAGGTTGACTGAAAGAGAGCGAGATCAGGATGTGAAGATGATCGGAATTGTTGGCAACATGCGTGGACCAAACAGTCTCCAAGAGCATGTGAGCCCTTATGAGGTACATGCCAGGTGAGGAGGCAGTACCGTTGGTCGGAGGGCGGGAGGACGAGTCTTCGTTGAGGATCCGAGGGGGGAAACGGACAGAAAGTCGTTGACGCCGCGGCTCTCGGGTTGTCTGTAAAGGAATGCCAGGGGGCGTGATGGGCATTGTCTTCCTGGAGGAGGCGATCGTATGTGATGGTAAGCACGCCTGAAAGATCCTTACCAGGATCCTTACTTGAAAGTGATGGTAAGGATGCCTGAAAGTATTGTTGTGTTACGTATTCCGATCTCTATCGCTTGAACTCACTTGATAAATATTGAAAATATTATCGTACATCATCAATTTTAAATATTATCGTGCAGTTCGTAGAACGTCAGTTTTTGCACGGTGTTAAAAAAGAGAAAGTGAATTCTCTGACAGGAAATGAGCACAATTTTTTCGCTAATGTCTTCAAAATATACTCATTATTTTTTGCTTTTTCCAGAGGTTTGCCGGCGCCGGTCAGAAACAATGAAATCGGCGATCCTATCTAGCATAGCTATTACGGCACTTATGTCCATCAGAATCTCGAATTTATAATCATGAAATAACAATTTTTATAACATTCTAAAACCATGGAAAATGTGGCTATGTACTCGTAAAGTCAATGCTCATGTTCAGTCAAACCTGCAAACAACTTTCGACGCTCTTTGATTCACACCGAGTCTAACTATCGATCATCACATTAGTTTTGAAAAATTTAATGCCTTGTCATCTGCATTTAGCCATGAAGGTTATTTGCAATAATATATTAATGAATTAGAGAATATTAACTAACAGTCCCCTTTGAATAATAACGACTAAAGTCCGATTTGTTCCACATGTTCCTTATTCTGACCATGCGGCCCCCCCCCATGGCCCCTTTCGACGGTTACGAGCGTTCATGTAGTATGGGCTCCATGTTTCATTGCTTATTACTCTGTTATAATAATCATAAAACAACAGTGAAATGTTTCATGAGAAAACGACAAAATTTTCATCGTTTCGTGTGCTGATTAAACGGAGTTTTTAAATCTTTCCTCAGTTATTAAGACCGATGATATAAACCTGGCGAACAAATTAACATGGAATCTTAACTCAACCACAACACGTTTCTGAAATTCTGGAATTTCCTTTCCATCAAACTGCGGATCCCAACACCGAATTTGTGAATTTTTTGCTACAAAATTCAATGTAAATTAAAAATTCTGCAAGGCACTTCAAATAATTATTTAAGAAGCGAATTTGAATCAAATTTAATCCTATCAAGTAACATGCACTTAAAATCAAGAAGGGTGCGCTCCTGGCTTAATATTTTTGCCCAAAATAGGCAGTATCAATAGCACTCAGGACGTTTAGGTAGGAAAAGACAGGTTAAACTTTGTTAAAAAGTGATATATTGTATGCAAGTTCAACTAAAACATCTCAATAAGCATTATTTCAACTAGAGTACAGAGTGACGTCACTCATTCAATACTAACTTCCTCCACATCATTGATAGGCGGAAGAATATTTACTAGGCCTATGTATAAGCAGATAACCTTCGATACATTCATTTCTACATGAACACTGTAGTTATAAGTTATATAAAGAGCAGTAACTAACAATGGTAATCACATGAGGGGTCCATAAGCTACAATCCATAAGTATACATCATCTCGATAGGATATCTATAAACGTTCATAAAACATTGCTCAGTCCCCATTGTTACTCGGTTACTCATCATTGCTCAATGGTCTGTATAATAATCCATTGCACTTCATATAGCAATTAATTATTATCCAATGTTGATATTCGTGGATCAGATACAGTAACAATCGTAACCATCATCCTGAAAACTCGTACAACATCGTAAGAGAAAAAAAGTGCAATAATTAATTCTTATGGTGGCCGGGTAAAAGCTTTGTTTAACATGCCGGTATTAAATGATGTTTTTTTTTTTTTGCTTTTTAATGCTATTCCTGCACTGGAAAAACTTCTATTTGACATATAAACTTCATTTGTTTCTATTTAAAATGGGATTTGATATTTAAAATTTTGAGAAGAAATACAGGGTAAATCATAATGAATAAACACGTCCAAAAAGATACTTATTATAGTAGGAAAAGCGTGACAAGTAACCGCGACTGATACCAGGCCGAGAAGCAGTGTAAGGTTTCTGCCGGCTAGGACGGTGAAGCCGAACATAAATTAACACGTGAAAAACAAAATTTAACATGTGTAAAAGAGAAATAACATGTGAAAAAGAGCAATTAACATGTGAAAATATCGCGTACGAGCGTAGGGGAAAGTGGACAGGAACAAAGAATGAACATGCACATGCGACATCGTGCACGTGTGCATGAAACAGAAGCCGTTCACAAGGGTAACATCATGAATAAAATCTAAGCAACTCAAAGGAAGCGCGCATTGAAGCTGTGTAGATCACTGGTGCACGAAGCTTGTTGGAGGCTAACTAATTATAAATCTCCAGTAGAATAATTTTCCTCAACCTCTTATTAAATTCGCCTGCATTATTTACCTATAGCCCTAATCATGGAATACTGCGCGGAATATTTCAACAATTTGTACAGGCGCTTCAGAGCAGGAACAATTTCATTCCTGTTCATTTTTTTATAACTTCTCTCTCAACAATATGAAAAATAAAACATTGAATAAAGTGCTAGTAGACAATAAAAGATCGAGACTCGTGATTATGATCATGAATAGCTTCTCAGCATTGACTCGAGTCCAATTGTAGCAATATAATACGCTACAATATATTCAAATCCTGATAATAAGCAATGGAAACTTTAAATCTTAATATTATTATATGGAAAAACTTACGATTCATTCTCATAAATTATTTTCTGAAAATAAGAGGAATTGCACACACGCGGAATAGGTAATTAAGTGAACATTTATTTCAAGTTTATTATAAGCTTCCTGGACAGGAAGACAAGAACTGCAGCACAACGCAATGAACGGGTAGAAATGAATAAACCAACAAATAATGCAAAACAAGAGCTAAAATATCCTCAGCCTAAGAAGAGGCGCTTAGCATGATATGGTGAATGATACACAACTTTGCGTGTTTCGTGATTCCCGCTAGAAAATGTACCATTGCGGTGCAACTACTTTCACGTTTTTGGACTTGCAAGTAGCTTTAGAGCGAAGGAAAAGTTATGACTTTTTTTATTTAGGAGAATAGACGCGCACAGAGTACAATGCAAAAAGCTCTTCTACAAACACATGCGATCAGGAGGTGATACAACCAAGACGCGTGCATTTTTAAGGGATTCGATTTAGTACAACTGATAATTTTTAAGTTATGAAGAATTTAAAGTAATTATATTTCTAAAACTGTTGTCTGCCAAAAAAATTCAGAGAACTCGAGCTCCCCATTCTAATAGCTAAATTCAGTTTTGTCATTGATTATAATTGAAAACAGAAATAGAAATTTAACACTCAAGGAACATTTTAACGAATGTATATTGTGTTTACTACGCACATAAAACGGGAGGTTTTGCTAAAAGTATTATCTTCAAATTCTTGTTATCACAACATCTTGGTATCAATGCACACATTAATCTTTCATCTAGAATATAAAAGGGGCTCAACTATATTAGTAATTGTTGCTATGAAGACAATAACCTCGAGCACCCCTCTATGCAAGGGAAGTAGAGCGCGTGACTGCATGTACACAACGCCCAGTATCTGCAATTGCATCAAAGCTCGTCAAGAACTGGTATAATACTGTACATGGACGATTTCAGTACAAAATACCTCAACTGCAACCAGTCAGTAATAAACTGTTTTATTACATGTTTTTTTCGAGATGAAGTTTTCGTAAGACGTAAAAATAATCATTCTAACTGCTTCATGGCATGTAAAAACCCTTAGTAGCGAAAATTCAGCCTCAGCTAACCGAAATAGTGGAATTTTTTCTGAAGGAAAAGTGGAAAGAAAAAGCTGGGAAAATTCAGATTCAATTATTACCTAAAATCATAACTTTCGAACTGTGACAGGAACCTGGTGAATCTGTTGGTAGGTGATTCATGTAAATAAAATCAGCTTTCAACAATACCCAAAGAAATAAATTTAAACTCTTGCAATAACGTTCTCCCTTAATTGTTTGCACTCACGAAAAACCAACAACAATTTCGAAATAAAGTTCATACAAAATTTTAAAAGTCCTTGGTATAATTTTTATCGTTCAAAAGGTCCAGCGTCACAGATAAAATCGCTGGCTACATGGAACCCACGTATCTACATCACCGGTTACTTTTTGCCTTGAGGCCTTGATAAGAAAATTTGTTGTGGCATGAAGCCTTTACGACGTCTCGTTATCGCACACTTTCTTAAACGTACAATTAATTGCCTCAGTGTGTCCGACTCATAAGCAAAAAAATTGTTTAATGTCTGTAACTTGACGAAAATATGAGAAATTAAAGTATTAGATTAAACTATGGACATGCAGTTAGGGTTTTATTTAAATGTCCACGACAACCCATAACGCAGAGCAGAGTATTTTTTAACCAAAATCATTCAATTTAATTTTTTAACGAGATGAGTGTGCATATTGCCGCCTGCAGCTTGACAGAGATCACGAATAAACCATGAATGCGATAAATATTTGAAATTTATAAAAAAAATCTAACAAGCGCAATCGATTTTCTTACAGAGAATGCGCTTCAGAACTGAAGGCACTAAAATTCAGCCCAGAAACAACAAAAGAAGTCAACCTACGAGACGCCGAACAGAAATCAACGCAGACATCCGACAACGATTTAACTTCAAACATTCATTTTTATTACGATGATAAGAACGTTTCACAGACAAGCTTGAGGTGATTCTCGTTACTGAATAGATACATGGCTAGCCTAACTATCCTTAGATATACACGTAGCTCTATTCAAATCAGGGACACTTACCAACTACAAATATAGACGGATGAAAATATAGCAAAACTTTATTTATTTTCATAGAAAGTATGCATAATAGTCACAGTGGAGAAGTGCTCCCATTTAATGTATAATACAGTCAATACAATACAATAGTTCATCAATGGTACATAATAATCTCTGGTAAAGCATTGTCTCCAAGCATCATTATTCACTAAATGTTATTATCTTTGAAACAATTGGTGTTAATAAAAATTCCACCACAGCCTTCGACGTTCGTTTCCCTGCGATTCTTTGTCTAAGGTGCAACAATGATTCGGATAAAAATTTATTATATAACTGTAATTAAATAAAAAGTATAAACGTTGTTATTTTACTCAAAGGTCAATGTTTTTCCCACAACAGATCAAATCATTTAAAAATGGAGGTGAAACGTTGCTTATTACAGCGTGTTTAATTTAGACAGCAGCCCCTCACAGTAAATCTAGCAAACATCGTGTGAAATAAGTGCCAAATGCTTTACTTCCCAAAAAAATACATAAGACTATCGTAATAACTCATAAATACGATTTTATTTTCAAGTAACTATTCAATTTTATTTACCGGTATTTACCCACGACAAGGTCTTCAATACTGACTCTCGTGTGTTAGAAACTATTTGCATGCCTACGAAAATCACTCCTCTCAGGGACATGCCTCACAGGGATCATGCCTCACAGGGATCATGCCTCACAGAGATCATGCCTTGCAGAGATCATGCCTCACAGGGATCATGCCTCACAGGGATCATGCCTCACAGGGATCATGCCTCACAGGGATCATGCCTCACAGGGATCATGGCTCACAGGAATCATGGCTCACAGGAATCATGCCTCACAGAGATCATGCCTCACAGAGATCATGCCTCAAATGTTTATTTACATTTCTTTGGTACATCTTTGGTTACGCCCCCTAGTGCAAATATTCTGAAATAGAATCCCATAAAATTAATCCAATGAAGAACATGCAATATGAGACAATTATTTGATGTACAAAATACACGCAGAATTGCGCACACTAAAATTTCTACATTAATGAAAATTCTCATTAATTCTCGATCTAAAATGTAATCTTTATGAATTTCTGATTGATTTAAATTCACATAAAATCTTGAAGAACAAACATATAAAATCAACGAACGCTTAACATTGCTGATGAGATTTTCACCTTGGGACTAGTACAACTTTACCTCATAGCAGTGTATTTATATTATTATGCCTTGGCATATTAAAATAAAATTCCAAATAACAGTTAGTTGATTACAATATTTTTAGTGAAAAAATGATTTAATGATAGTAAACCGTTGTGTGGTATCATCAAGCATTTGTATGTTATGGCTCACTTTATTACACAGATTTAATAGGCGCGTAAAAGGCAGAGGAAAAATAGATTGCAGCTTCGCTACCAGGAGGGAAGTTTCTCCGAAGAAACAGTTCTTGAATTATCATATGTTATGAAAAACCATTGAGGATATATTCTATTCGTTCACCTTTCATTGAATTTCAATTCATAAAAGATCCACTCTATTGGGGGCAGGCACTACAAAGAAGTAATTTAATCTAAAGAATAGGAGGCAAGAATTTCCCGGAATCGTCAAAGGAAGATTCAGCCATGCTAGAGTTTTTACCCTGTTCGTGACTAGCAGCAAACGACTCTTGCACAACCATACTACCGTTCCCAGTGACGCTTCTACCAGAACTACCATTGCTCGCTGAAAACTTGATACCGTTACCCATGGTATTTTTAGAGGTAAGAGGTTCTCCGTTATTGCTACCGGGAGCAAGGGGATGCGAGATACTGGTACTGGAGATGGCGCTTGTGAGTTCGCGAAAAGGTCGTGGCAAGGTATGACCATCCGAGGTGGTACCACACAACACCTGGTACTGATGTGGCTGCTGTTGGTACAGTTGCTGGTTAGTTTGCTGATGCTGCGACGCTGTAGGATATTGTTGAGAGTCCTGAGATAGACTTTTTGTAGGAGCTTTAGCTCCTGAACTGCCGCCATGTCTGTTGGACGACGAGTCGCGACTCCGGCGGCCCTTGTACACCTGTTGACGTGGGTGGAATGAGGAGTACGCTCGATAGTTATTAGATATAGTCATTTATTCCGTAGAATATATATCTAAAGACAAGTTCATTTACCGCTGATTTCATTTAAATATTATGAAAATCCTCATGCTTTAGTGTATGACTTAATTTCGTTGTATATCTTCTTATTTAAATATTAAGAAATATCTTGATTTGATCGCAACGCTAACGGTTGTTTGAGATATAAAATACTCGAGCAATATCATGAATTTAAGAATTTCAAGGTAGAAATGCCACAGCAACACATGCCACCACAGCAACACATGCCCACCTTATACAGGCTATACACATCCTCTTCAGTCGAGTCTTGGCTGAGGGGCAAAGGCTTGCGGTGGCCATTGTTCTGGCCATTCATCCCGCCACCACCGCCTTGGCTGCCGGCGCCTTGGCTGCCGCCACCTCCTTGTATGCCGCCGCCTTGGCTGAGACCACCGCCTTGGCTGCCACCACCGCCGCCTTGGCCGCCTTGACTGCCACCACCACCGCCTTGGCCGCCTTGACTGCCACCACCACCGCTTTGGCCACCTTGGCTGCCGCCTTGACTGCCGCCTTGGCTGCCGCCTTGACCACCACCGCCGCCAGCGCCGGTAGCCAGCACCTCCCGCCGCCGCTCAGATATGGATACAGGCTCAGGCGCGCCAGCTGCAGTAATACGTAAACGAATCTTTTCCTATATTATACAACTATAATAATATATATAATAATACACCATGTAACCCATAATATATTGTGAAATGTTTTTAAAGCCTTGATCTACATCAATAGAAACACTAGACGAGAACTTTTCCTCAACATTGACGGTTTATGAACATTGCTTGGAATTTTTTAAATTCATAGCGTAACATTTCTATTCTAGTCTCTGACATTGCAAAACAGGGATTTTGCTTAAATCTATCTAAACGGTTAAATGTATTTTATTATAATATACATTATTTTTGAATTGATTAGTATCAAAATTTAGAAATGAAACGTAAAAGTTCTTACAAATTTAAGATGTGTTCAGTTTGAATGAGAATTTGAACTGAGCTCTCTTAAATTAACATTACTTAATTTTTACGAATATCATGTTATGTGCAACGAAGATTTAATCCAATAAAGGATTATCTAAACCAAGGTAACGACTAAACCAACGACTGGATCGGCTGTTTATGTCAAAAAAAACATATAACTCGGCAAATAGAAATCATAAATCGCAAAAGTGACTCTTCAATTAAGTGATAATTGAATCGCCCGGTCGTGAATAGGTTGATCTCTTCATGAGAATATCCTTCGAAAATATCGAAGGTAAACAGAACATTTACAAGTTTGTATTTTATCTTAAACTCGAAAGAAATAATATGAAAAATCTCGCTCGTTTCGAGCACCACTCTGTCCCCTCACCATCACCGCACACTCATCACCACTCGCTTGCCATTATCACCTCCACTTCACCCCCATCACTGCTCCTTCATCACACGCAATCACTACCCCTTCACCACACCACCATCACC